GCCCGGAGCCTCACCCCCTCAAAGCAAAGCAACCAAAAATCACACCCCAGCACTCTTTCCTTTGGGAGTTCGGAGCGGTTTCGGGGCGAAGTTTCAGCGGTTGCCTCTATGTTCACCCCCTCCCCCTGACAAAAGCCATGCCAGCCGTGTGTGAGCAGACGGGGTTGACTCAATTCTCCGGCTCATCTGGCTCCTCTTGCATGATCTTCTCGGGTGCAATTTCCTTCCTGCAGCAGCAGCTGTCCCGGGAGTCACAAGCATGACCGCCGGGGGCTCACAGGGACGCGGTGAGCCACAACAACGAGTGAGTTTCTAAGAACTCTAGTGGCGCCGAGACTGGCAGAGGCTGGGTGGCGGCCGGCCAGGTAGGCAGGCCTTGGCCCCCGGGCGCTGCCCTTCCTTCCCCGCCTGCCCTTGGGATCCTGCGCGCAAGCCTGGTCACGCCTCGGCCTTTCATCCTTCCCTCCAATGCAGCCCGCGTCTGAGCCCCGGAACATGGGCTCCGGGAAGAGAAGCGAGTCTGCACACACTGGGGGTGAAGGTGCTGATTCCACAGACACTGCAACGACCCAAACGTGCACCCACAAACCGATCGCTCTTGTGCTGTTCCCTGGGCCCCGTGTTTCCTATTTGAAAAGCAGGTAATTCTCTCTGAGAGATCGCTCAAAGAGTACAGGCCTTGTGGGAGAGAGTCTGGGGTCTGAGCCCCACCACCACAAGGCAGCCCTTTCCAAGTGCACAGCTGAGAATGGCCCGATACCAAAATAACTCAACTATGGGCCATTCATTCTCATCCACACCGCTTTTCTTTTCCATGATAAAAATGCAGTCCTGGGCTTGCGAGATAATACAGGATGTAAGGCAAGGGTAAATGCCAGGAGGTAATTCCTGAATGCAGAGCCAGGAGCAATGCCTGGGCATCCTCAGGTGTGACCCAAAAAGCCAAAAAAAAACAAAAAATAAAGGCAAGGGCAAGGTTACTTGCCTGGCATGTGTCCAGCCCTGGCTTTAACCCCTCAACACCACATATGGCCCCAGGGTAACTCCCAGGGATTCCCCCCCACCCCCGAGCAAAGAGCCAAGAACGGCCCCTGAACGCTGTTGGCATAGCTCAACACCGCCCTCCTATCAAAGAGACAAAATTAGGGGTTGGAGCGATAGCACAGCGAGTAGGGCATCTGCCTTGCACGCAGCTGGCCTGGGTTCGATTCCCAGCATCCTTTATGGTCCCCCAAACACCGCCAGGAGTAATTTCTGAGTGCAGACCCAGGAGTAAGCCCTGAGCATCATCATCAAGATTTTTTCTTTTTTTAACCCAAAAAACTTAAAAAAAAAAAGACAAAATTAAAATGTCATCTTGGGGCAGGAGTGAGAACTCAGCAGGTCAGGCACATGCTTCGTATGTAAGAGGTCTCGGGTTCTATTCCCGGCACCACAAGGCCCCTTGAGCACCACTAGGAGTGACCCCCCCCCCCCAACAGACAGCTGGAAATAGCACCCCCCTCTTCCTGTCCTATCACACCACTGGCTGTGGCTCAAGAAACATAAACAAAAATACAATCCTTCCCCACCCCCTGAAATTAGTGCCACGCCCATAGTAAAAAAAAAAAAAAGTGACAGTTTGTGCAAGTCTTGTCAGAAGAGATACTCCGTAATATTTGGGTTTCCTCCCTGCCTGAGCTAGGAAATTACAGGGAACCCTACAGACAACAGATTCTGCTGGGAGAGAATTCTCCGGAGGCTCAGAAAGGGATGATGCCAGGCTGCTCGGGCCCTCCCCCAGCTCACGCTGTCATACATGCGCCACCCTGTCTGTCTCCGGGGCTGGCGGGAGGTGTTTCACACACAGAGCCACAACTCTATGTAAATTCTAGCCCTCCAGAAGCCCCCAAACAGAGAAGTTTCTTCATTATGAGAAAAACCTCGCCGGAGAACAATTTTAATGCTCTTGCTAGCATTCTCTTCTTGACAAGTCAAGTCTGGGATTTGAAAAAAAAAAAAAAAAACCCAAGAGGTTTATTTATTTGGTTTGGGAACTACACCCAGGGGTTACTCCTGGCTCTGCACTGAGGAATCTCCTGGCAGTGCTCGGGGGACCATCCATATCCGGGATGTCGGGATGGAACCTGGGTTGGTCAGGGGCAAGGCAGGTGCGGACCCTGTGTATTATCACCGCTCTGGGGAGCCTCCCCACCCCCTCCAAGGTTTTTTTTTTTCAACTGTGCCAAAGCATGCAAAGCAGGGCCGGCTCTGACCTTTGGACTCCCCCGTCACCTCCCCGTGAGGATTAGGAAATCGCTGAGCTGTGAATCACGGTTCCTGCAGGCCGGAACAGAACACCTGCTCTCTGCAGCTGAGGGGAGAGACCCGCATGGGCCCACGTGCGCCCAGTGCCAGCAGGGCCCGCCAGGGCTGCCAGCTCGCAGACAGCGCACACCCCGCCCCCTCCTGCAGCGGGCTCTTCTCCTCGTCCTCCCCAGGCAGCGCCTCCAAGCAGCTGGAGTGAAACGCTCTCCTGTTCCTTCCCACACCTCCGCCTCAGGCCGGCCACTGCCATTCTCTCCCTTCACCTTGAAAACTCAGTAAGAGGAACTCACAGGCCTCTCACCCACTACCGCTGGGCACAATTATCATCGGAGACCAGAGGCAAAGCGAGTTTGGGAAACCCTCTCCCCGCTCTCTCTCTCCCTCCCTCTCTCTCTCACCCTTAACTGATAAACAGGGATCCCAAGGAGAGCTGGGCCCCCACGAAAACACTGGTGCTGAAGGATAAGGTCCTCCAACAGCACTTGTTGGTACGACTTGCAGAAGTCACAAGACAGCCCAGAGTGCTTCGCTTCTGTCAGCACCAAATGAGGCTAACCCAGTCTCCAAGTTTAGAACCATCACTACAAACCACAGGCCTCTGGCATTTAGGAGAGTTTTTTTTTTCCAGTGCAGGAATGATCAGATCCTAGGCCAACACACACACACACACACACACACACACACACAGCAAGCGTTTCACCACTGAGCCATATCCCCCCCACCCCCCAGCACAAGAGAGAGCCCCATGTTTTGTTTTTGAATTTTTAGGCCACGCCCAGCGATGCTCAGGGGTTCCTCTGCGCTCTGCACTCAGGAATCACTCCTGGGGGTGCTTGAGGACCATATGGGATGCCGGGATCTAACTCTAAAATCAAACCCTTCATTAGATCAAGCTCTTATGAGATAAAAAGCAAATGTGTGGTAATACTGTGGTAAGCTTCAGGTCATGCAGTTAGTTAATTATGAACCAGAATACTCTCATTTCCTTCAATATCCTGATAGAATTTGTGAGAGCGCGGGCGCGCGCGCACACACACACACACACAGTGCTAGGCTGGGCTTTCCGATAACCTTTGGCTCAGTGCCAAGAAGATAAACCTTAAAATAGGAGAAAGGTTCACACCACGCACTTTACTCATCTAAAGTGTGCCAGGTAGTAACCTGGGTCTGACACCCGGTCAGGTTCTAGGACGGCCCAAGTCAGGCCTAATTATGCAAGAGGGCGGGAGGGGGTGGGGCGGCGGCGGGGAGGGGCTGGGGTGCTGGGGAGGCGGGAGGGGTCCCTGGAGAGGAGCGAGTGGCAACAGTAACGATACAGCGATACAGCATTTCATCCAAGGAAATTAGTTTCCTAGACAAAGGTCCGCAGAGGCTGGGCGACGCTGCTGACGCTCCCCGACCAGCCACAGGCCCCGTCCGGCCCCCTGCGCTGGGGTCACGGAACTAGGGAGTCGGTCGCCCGGCGAAGTTCTGAACTCCCAGCCTCGGCGGGCGCGTTCCGCAGCCCTCGCGCCGCCTCCCCAGCACCCGCGGTTGGGTTGGGAGCAAAAGGGCCTAAAAAGCGACGTAAGCGTTTCCCACAGGAACAGCCCTGGGAGTCGCGACTCCGGACGCAGAGAAATAAGAGTCGACCCGGCAGGTGAGGGCACCTGCCACCCCGCGCGGCTCTGGGCTGGCGTCCTCGGGAGATCCCCTCCTCACCCGGCCCCAGCCCCCAAGTCCCCCTCCCGGGTTCACAGCACCCGCATCCCGCACCCCCCAACCCAGAGGCGGCGCGACGTCGGCCCAGACGCCGCCAGGAAAGAGCCCAGGAGCCCAGGGAGAAAGCAACCGGGCGAATCGGCAGAAAACAATAAGGTGCCTCCCCCCTCCCTCCTTGGGTGGTCCAAGGGGCTGGAGAGAAGCACACCCGCCCCCCAATGAGATAAGGCCAACGGGGCTGGCTTAGGGGAAGCACACGCGGGGACTCCCCTAAATTCATACCTGGGCTTTCCGAATTATTAATTAATTAATTAATTAAGACCAAGCGTCTGGAAAAGCAACTTGGCCACGTTCTAACACACACACACACACACACACACACACACACACACACACACACACACCCCTCCCATCACCAACTACCACCAGCAGCAGCCCCGGATAAATAAATTAAATCCCAGCACGTGAGCGGTAGAAACTACATGTTAGTTACAGATCTGAGGTTTACATAATCGCCAATTACATAATGCCCCGCTGTGCACCGTGCACCCGTCGGTGGGCGAAGCTGCACGGTCCAGGACCCCCGGTCTCCAGCGAGCGCGTGGGGGGGAAAGTCTGGATAAAGAGATCTTTGGGGGTGGGGGGTGGGGAGCCGGGGATGGGGGTGGGGGGGCAGGGAAGCGCCGGAACGTCATCCTGGACCACCACCGCAGACTCGACCCAAGGCTCGGGAATCCGAAGCGCCTCGGAGCAGGTGACTGCGCGCGCACTGCCCCCTCCCCAGCCCCGCGCCCGCGGGTGCCCCTCGGGGCGCTCGGGCTCGGTCTGGGGCCGAAGCAACCCGAGCGACTCTCGGGGGGTGGCGTGTGTATCTGTGTGTGTGTGGGGGGGGAGGGTGGCAGTGCCCGGGCCGGGGTTGCGCTTCGCAGGGTCGGAGGGGTGGGGGTGGAAGGGAGGATGCGGGCGGTCGGGGCGCGCGGCCGGGGCTTTACCTGCTCCCCGAAGTCGATGGCGATGTTGGTGATGCCCAGGGGCACCAGGAACCGGATCAGGGGCCAGTAGTGCGTGAGCGCCGGGAATTTCACCATAGTCCCCGCCGTGGGCCGCCCCCACGCACATCTGCCGCTGCGAGGGGACTGTGCCGGGGGGAGCCGGGCGCGGGCCGGGGGCGCGAGGGGCGCGCGGGCCGGGCCGGCGGGGCCTGGGGCGGGCGGCGGCGGCGGCGGCGGCGGCGGCGGCTCCTCCTCGCGGCGCGGCGGCTCTAGCAGGAGCTCGGCCGGCTCGAGTCCATCCCCGCTGCCCTCCCACACGACAAAGATCTGCCGGGGAAAAAAGGAGGAGGGACCGCGGCGGCGGCGGCTGCTGACAGCGGCTCCATTATAAGCGCGCCGGGCCCGGAAATAAATAAATACCCGCGCGCGCGGGGCTCGGCCCGTCCCCGCCGCCGCCGCGCCGAGGAAATCAGGGGCGGGCGCGGAGGCGCGGGCAGCGCCGGCGGCGGCCCCGGGGGCCGGCGGGGCGGGGGCGGGGCCGGGCGGGGCGGGCCGCTCCCTCCTGCCCGCGCGCGGCCTGGCCGCGGGGGGCGCGCGCGGGCCCGGCCTCCCTCCCGCGCTGCCCCCGCCGGCCTGGAGGGGGCGCGGGCCGCGCGCGCCGGCCGGGCCTCCCCGCCCAGGGGTGGGGGCGGGGGGCTCGCGGGCTCCGGGCCGAGGGGTCTCCTCCGCCCCCCAAACGCCCAACACACGCGCGCGCGCGCGCACGCGCGATCGCCCGCGCCCCAGCCCAGACGCGCGGGCGCGGATGCTCCGGGCGTCGGGGACGGAGCCCGGCTGGGACGCGCGCGCGCGGGTGGCTCAGGGGGCGGCCGCTCTGAGCCCTCGAGCGGGGTTGTTGGGGGTCAAGGGGGTCTCCCTGGGGTCCACCTGGGGCTCTGAAGCCAGGAGAACTGATGGGGGCGGGGGAGGCGCGCTGCCCAGGGAGCACGGGCTGCCGGCGCGTCCGGGGCGATGGGGTCCCCGCGGCGCCCAGGCGTGAGGGAGGGCACGGGCCCTCCTGCAGGCGCGCCCGCTGGGCCCGTCGTCCTTGGGCGCGCACCGACTGGCCTCCGGAAGCTTTTGCTGCCCCTTGAGCTGGAGTTTTTTGTCTTTTTGTTTTTTTTCCTTCCCTGGCTCCTGGATGGTCAAAAGAAAACCAAAATTTGGAAAAGTTCGAATATCAAGGGAGGAAGGGAGAAAATGGTGCTCAAGGGGGCTGTCTAGGGTGAACGGTAGCTGGGCTGAGTTTTGGCCGTTTTGTTTGGGGGTAAACCCAAAACTCGAAATGTGCGACCGCAACGCCAGAGTCCTTCTCCGTCCTGGGTGCAGTCGGAGACGGGCAGAAGGTGCTCGGGAAGGCGCTGCCCTCTGCCCGCTGCTGGCCTCTACCCGAAACCTCGCCGGCAGAGAGGAAGGGAAGCGCCTCCTGCGCACCGGCCTCGCAAACAAACCGGCCGGGCGTCCCTGCGACGTCGCCTCGCTTCCAAAGACTTGGGTTCTCTTAGTGGTCCGCTGCGACCCTTTGCAAGATCGTTGGTTTTGTTTTTCAGGGCCACACTCAGAGGCGCTTCGGGTTTACTCCGGGCTCTGTGCTTAGTGCGGGAGGGAGGGGGCTCCCCTTCTTTCAGATGCTCAGAGGTCCTGCATCCTGGGGATGAGACTGGTTCCCCACGTGAAGCATTCGTGCACTCTTGTGCTTCGCGGCGTCTTTCCAGCCCCAGAAACTGATTTGAAGGAAGGGTCCAGTGAATTAGCTAGTCCCACTACCTCTTCTCGTAGAATTTTGCACTAGCCCCATCTTTTAAAGATTAATAAGCACAATCAACTTATTAAGTGATTTTCCACCTAAGAACAAACCTGTTACATCTAGCTCTGTTAAAACTTATTCATACTTTGAATTTCAGACTACAAGTAGTTCATAATTATTTGAAAGTGTTAGATGTTTGTTTCTCATATGTTCGTGCCCTTAAAACATTTTTTTAAACTGGGTTGGAACGATAATACAGTGAGTAGGGCATTTGCTTTATAAGCAGCCCACCCAGTTCATCCCTGGCACCCCATGTGGTTGCCTGAACCCACAAGGAGAGATTTTTGAGTGCAGAACCAGGAATGAGGCCTAAGCACCACCGGGTGTGGCCTAAAGTGTAAAGAAATTGATTAATTTTACTTTAAATTTTTATTGGTGTTGGGGCCACACATGGTGGTGCTCAGGGCTTATTCCTGCCTCTGTACTCAAGGATCACTCCTGGTGGGGCTCTGGGGATCAAACCTGTGTCAGCTGTGTACAATTACTCCCCATATTATCTCTCCAGCCCTAAGAAACCTTTTTTTAATTCTACATGACCTGAACAAACTGATTTACTGTTTTGCTCTGCTCTGACCTCAAATTGCATTCCCTATAATTATGATAAAATGTTGGTAATGATTTATTGTGTTGGAGGTGTTCAAATAGTATTATTGAAGACATTTCCCAGCAAAACAGGAAGTCCTTGTGTACCGGACTCTCCTCTCCAGCAGTTCCTGAAAGATGAGGTTTAATATAGTGGAATCTTATTTTTAAGTGTACTAAGGGAGCTTTGTTATTTAAAGGACTTCTCTGGGAAGCAGCTCTTTTCTAAAGCAAATAGCACCTTATGGTTTATCCATCCTGTTGGTAGAGGTTTTCCTGGGCTCAGTTGACTCAGAACAATCTCATTAAGCTGACTTTGGTCTCGAGTGTAGGTAGGTGAGGTCCTGAATCGATCAAGCCCTCATCCTGTCCGGTTTGCTTTGTTGGTCCCTGGACAAGTCTCGGCCAGAAGAGGAACATGGAGAAATTCTAGTGAACCAACAAAACGACCTCCTTCTTGTTGGAGTTTCCCCAAAGTATATTTTTCAATAAGCGCTTCAGCGGTGTCATCTTTGATGATGGCCAAGAGCAACTGTTTAGATCTGAAAGCTCTGTGGATTCCAATCACACTATGGCAACAAGGAATGAACAGACTCTTCCCGCCTTTCTGTCCAGGAGTTGAAAGCAGACAACGGATTCCAAAGGGAGAGCTTTTGACCTCTTTTTCTTTGCTCTTTTCCTCTTTTTAACTGACGCCTAGTTTGAAAGGATAGTTCCAGAATACAAGTGTTGAGAATGAATGGGAAGTTGTCAAACGACCCAGAATGGAGGAAGAAGTCCCAGAGTCACTTAAATGAGCTCTTCTGGGTGTTATGAGCGTACAGGTGCAGGTTTTCATCTCCAACTTGTAGAAAACATCTGTGTTAGCTGGATTAATCCTGGGACTTGCTAATTTTCCCCAGCAGGGCTCAGAGGAAGCTGGGGCCATTGTGGCTACATGATGATGACTCTAAGCCTGGGTCAAGGACAATGAGGTGGGGCTCAGGATCCGCAGCATCAGGAACCACCAGCCCCTAACCAAATTATTTAACAGAAAATAATCGGTGATCTCCCAAATAGGAGGAGGAGGGAAGGGCGCTCCTGATAATTCTCAGCCAACCAGGCCCAAGGATGTGGTGCTGAGGGACCTCCAGGGCACATGGGGGGGGGGGGGGTGCTCAGGGGGTCCATATGGTACCATATCGTACAGGAACCAAACCTGACTTGGCCACAAGCAAGGCAAGTGCTTTCATTCATGTACTACTTCTTCAGCCCCCGGAAATAGTTTTCATGGAAGATTTGGTCTTGGCCATTGATGCCCAGCGATGTTTTTTTCCTTCCCTTTCCTCTTCTTTGTTGTTGTGTTGGGGGTCACATCTTGGGTTTGGGGCTGTGCACACACCTGGCTTGGTGCGTGGAGATCACACCCTTAGTTGTGGCCCTGCAGTGCCACTGTGACTCACGGTGTGTTTGGGTTCATGCTTGCAAGGTACATGCTCTACCTTTGAGCCAACCCCCAGGACTTGATGTCTAGTTTGTTTGTTTGTTTTCTTTTGGGTCACACTTGGCAATGCTCAGGGGTTACTACTGGCTCTGCACTCAGAAATTACTCCTGACGGTATTTTAATTAAATTACTCAGGGGACCATATAGAATGTGGGGGATTGACCCTGGATTGGTCATTTGCAAGGAAAACACCCTACCCACTGTAGTATTGCTCTGGCCCCTGGTGTCTAGTTTTGTCAAATACTATGCCCTCTCTGCACCATTAGAGAGTAGGTTAGCTCTATTTTAAAATAAAACATAAGAAAAGAATTTTGGTATGTGGGTATGTGGTCTCTGGCACAATTCACTAGAAACTCAAGTGTCGCAGTTCTCCATTTGGGCTTAGGTGGTTCAGGGGAGATACAGGGAGGGGATGACGCCTCCAATCTGAGACAATGTCTTTATGTTCATATGAATACTTACCTGTTTGTTGACGCCGCCGTTTCGGCCAGGATCTGGTCTTCAGGGGACAAGAGAGATGCTGTCTTCCCCCAACTAACGCCAAGCATCACTCTCCCGACTCTGGGTCCTTCCAGCCTCACCCCCAGATCGAATGTGCCTGGGCCAATTACCCAGCTTTGTTCTCACAACACGTGGCAGCATAGGAGGTGAGCAGCAAGGCTCCTCATCTTGAAATTGAACAGGGGCCATAGCTAGTCAAGAAGGAGCTAAATTCTGCCAAGAGTCACAGTTCTTGATTAAAGAATGTTTTTTCATTAGACTTCGAGCTATCAATATTGCGGCCCCTTGAGTGGAATGTATTAAGGGACCATCTAGACGCTTGAAAACAAGCCAGAAGAGAAAAGGAAGATGATCTATACATGCTGATAGGCATGATCTGCGAAGAAAGCCAGGTCCCGGGGCCAGAGAAATATGTACAGTATGTAGAACAGTCGCCTTGTATGAGGCCTGACTGGGTTTGCTCCCCAGAACCCACTGTGATGCTGAATTTGGGTTTTCCTAAGATTTTTATCTTAAGCACCAAGTTAACAGTGAATTATTCTTCCTATTACCAAGTGAAATACAAAATAGAAATCACGAGTCACTGTCCTCCCGTTGTTCATTGATTTGCTCGAGAGGGCCCAATAACATTTTGAGACTTGGTACTGTGTTTGGCATATCAAATGCGTCTTGGGTAGCTTGCCAGCCTTTGCCGTGCAGGCAAAATACTCTCAGTAGCTTGCTGGGCTCTCTGAGAGGGGCAGAGGAATCAAAC